TGGAAGGGGAGAAATGGAACACATGAATGCTTAATATACCAGGAAATAGAGTCATTACCACTTAATCACCTGGGTCCAGTAGACTCTTAATTTAAAAATAATTTTATGAATGAATGAACACAAAACTAAATGGAAGGTAAAAAAAAAACCAAACAAAACTCCACCCACCCACCTTTATTAGAAATTGTAATAAGAATTTAAACACATTTTAGTAAACTCAAATATTCATTCTGTATTTTCTTCACTGAAAATATAAATAACCAATACAGCAATGTGGTTTGGATACAATGAATTGCTTATTAGTTCTCTTGCATGAACCTGGAGCTTGTCCATCTTGTAAATAAATATTATTCCTAGAGTTCAAACACATCTTTAATACAGTCTAGTTAATAAATAAAGTGTCTATTCTTTTTTTATATCTTCAAAGTGTACTACTTTGGAAAACTTGTAATTTTTTTGAAGACAAAGCAACCATTTCATTTGCAAGGCACTTTTTAATTTTCAGATATTTACACATTAATTACTCAAATAAATGATATTTTTTCATTTATACGTTAATTTATTTCTTCCAATTACTGTTGGCCTCGGTACTTACCCATTAACAAAGTGTATTATAGAAATTTTGGTATATAAACATCATAAAAATTCAAAGAACAATGTTACATGATTATAAAGGAAACCAAGATGATTCAGACTTTTTGTACTATTTTATGATAAAATTCTGTTATTGAATCTACCACAACTCAGACGCAGTGCTCCTATGACAAACAGATAGGAACCTTGCTCTATCCTGTGCTATCCTCAAGATCTCCAACACAGTTGAGCGTACTGTTAGTAATTGGGTATCTATCCATCAGTTGAGGGCCTTTTCCTCTTCTGCTGACTTCTACCTTTTCAGCACGGTACCTTTTGCCAAAGGTTGGCTCCTCCTAAAAATACCCAAAGTTTGTAAGAAAAAGTTTCATCATTCTTGCTTCTGAGGAGTACCTGGCTACACTTCCTGAGAATACAGATTCTCCTTTCTGTGCTGGGGAATAAATGCATTGCTTACTCATAGATTCTTCATTGTGAGAAAATCCACCCAGGATATCATCAAATTAAGTTTCACAGGCCCCAAATTTGTATATATGATCATCATTAACATCAACAGCAGGGTTGCTAATTTTGTGTGATAATGAAAATGTTCACTGCAAATATTTACCCTATCTGACCCTAAGGTTACTATTTGAAATATAAGTAAGATAATCAATAAACTAAATTTTAAACTTTATAGACCCTGTTTTGGGTCAACTTCTTCTTAATCATTATGGCAAAAAAAAAAAATTTGTGAATTCTCAACTTTGCTTAATGAAAAGTAACAAACTGTATTATAAAGAGGATACCTTCAAAATGCCTGCTATTCTTTCTTAAAACGGATATAAAACTCAGGACTACAAAATGGGGAGGAAAAACAACAATGACAAATTAATTTTATCATAAAAACATCAGTCTTAAAATTTTAGTATTTGCCCCTTAAGAATAGTTGGAATAACTGATGATTAATGATCCCATGTGTTAACTACAAGATGGAATGAATATTATTCCTTCAAAATAAGAAATATTTTTCTTTGTTCAAGTCCTCTAAGAAGAAATAAACACCATCAACCAATAGTTCTGACAAATAGGATAATCTCTTCCTCCTCCCAAAAACCCTATAAAATAAAACAGATTTTTCAGATTGTACCAGAAAGGTTCACAAAAACCATATAAAAGTAATTTATTTTCTAGTTTACTATAAGCTACCTTAAAAACAGTTCAATAGAAATCAGTATGGAGATTCCTTAACAAACTTACTTTTATTAGAGAAAATATCTTTCCAACAACTATTTATAATTTATAAAGGCAATTTTGTGAATAACACCGAACATAATCAAATATACAAGCAAGTTATTTTTAAAAATACGCCAAAACACACAAAATAGTTTACATGTTTCAGCTTTCCCACTGGACTGGTCATGGGCATTTCATGTGTGTAACTCTCTAGAAAAAATGGTTAAGACCTGTTTCATACACAGCTCAGAATGTGGGACTCCTCTTAAATGAAACCTTACAGAGTGGAGGCTATTCAGAGCTATTATTTACACACACACACACACACACACACACACAAAATCATTCCTCTCCTCCTTTCAAAGAGAGTAAATGTATCTGTCTTGATGTTAAATAAGATGTTTAAGGAAGAATACTTACCTGTTGTTTTGTACTGTTGAGTAGGAGCTTACCCATATCTGACTCTCTAGCCAATTTTCAGAGGTAGAAGTAAACTGCAACGGGATTGACTGCCCATCCTTCTCCCATGGAGCAACTGGTGGATTTGAACTGCATACTTTTGCACTGGCAGCACAATTCCTTATCATAGGTCACCAGAGCACCCTTATTCTTGACTAGATCTAATAATTTTGATCACATTCCAGGTAAGGGAGCTCTGGTAGACAAGTCTGCCGGGAGCTGTAGTACTCCTCTGGTAGTTCAAATCCACCAGTGACTCTGCAGGAGAAATAAAGGCAGAATGACAGCCCTGGAAACTTCATGGAGGAGCTGAAACTGATCTGACAACAGTGGGGTGTTGTTTGTTTGTGTTTTTTTTTTAAATGCAACATCCTAAACTGGGGTAGGGAGCTCTGGTGGCCTAGTGGGAAGAAACTGTGCTGCAATCCCAAAGTCATGTGGCTCAAATCTACCAGCTGGTCAAGAGAAGGATGGGTCATTTTTTTCCTGTGCAATTAACTATCTTTGAAAACCCATTGGAGGGTTAGCTATGGGTCGGTTCCAACTTGATGGTACACAACAAATAACATATGGTTTAAGCTTTAATTTGAATAGAAGGGCTTAAGATTGATGAATGTCACATGTAATTACAAGGACAGAAAATTAGATGTTTTTCCATTGACTACAAATATGTAAATATGAAATCAGAATATAGTCCATATATGAAATTATACTCTAAAAGAACAATACCAAATAATCAACAGCAGAGATAAGCTGAAATAGTTAACATTTTGTTTGTGGTTTATCTTTATAAAATAACTTATATTTAATCACTTTAGATGTTATTTACAAAACTATAAATGACAAATAATGGTTGAAAGAACATTTGCTATAAAGAGTGAATTTCTTTAGGAATTTATGGATTTCACTGAACTGTTTTAAAAATAGCTGACAGTATACTAGAGCAAAGTGAATTCTCAACTGTATTCTAGAAAAATGAAAAGATTATAAAGAAAAGCACTTCTAAAATAAGAAAATTTACTATTGTATAAAAAAACCAAATGGAATAAAAAATTATGCACCATTCAGATCATCACAAGGCAGTTTAAAAGCACTTTCAAAATTCAGAGAAAGATGACCTAAATAATTAGGAGAATTGGGGGGGAGGGGAAGAGGTACAATAATGAAGTCAAGAAACACAAAGGTGATTGATCATTTAGTTCAGAACAATAATGTAAAAAAGGAATGCTTGAAACCTATAAATTCACCTAGGCTATACAACTAAAGGAAGCATGGTCTTTCTACAAGACATCCATTTGTCAAAATTAAGAGTACTAGAAGTAGATAAATGTAGTATTTGAATTAATTAACATTTGAATTCCTCATATTATAAGACACTGTACTACATAGATTCTTAGTATACTAATGATGAAAGAGTAAACAACTGATACCTTTAAAAAGTGTTTTGGAGAGGAATAGTGAATCTATGATGGACTGGCAAAAGAACAAACAATTCGTCAAAAGAACAAACAAGTTTGTCTTGGAGAAAGTGCAACCAGGGCCTTACTTAAAGGTAAGGGTGATTAAACTTTGTTTCACAAACTTTGAGCATGTTACCAGGTGTCAGAACTTGGAAAAAACCATCTTGTCAGGTAAGCAGTGGGTCAATGACAGATGGGAAGACCCATGAACAAGATGAAATGACATAGTGGGTGCAATAATGGGCAGAGACTGAGGACAGTGCAACATAAGGCAAGATTTCCATCCAATGAATGAAAGGTTGCTAGGAGTTGTAGTCAAATTGATAGCACCTAACAACTACAACAACAATCTCTGTCAAGATTCCAACTTATAGTGACTCTGCAGGACAGAGCAGACCAGCATCAGTGTTTTACTACTCTTCCTAACAGCAACTTGAAGTTTTGAACTTCTAGGCTTTTGGTCAGCAGCCAAGAACTATAAGCAATGTACTTGAGTAACTCTCTATTCACTAATTTAAAAATGTCACTTTCTGAGGAAGCGCCAAACTGCCTTCTAGAATAGTTGCATCATCCCTATGACCCAGTTATTCCACTACCTAGAATGTATCAAGAATATGAGAACTGAGGCACAAACTGAGATTTGTACATCAATGTTCATAGCAGCATTATTTCCCACTGCAAGAACATGGAAACAGCTCAAATGTCCAACCACAAACGAATGGATTGAGAAATTATGGTACATTCACACAATGGAATGCTATGCAGCACGCAGGAGCAATAACTCTGTAAATTATTACCTAACTTGGGAGGGACTGGAAAGCATTATGCTATGTGAACTAACTCAGTCACAGAAGGATAAATATTGTATAAAATCATTATTGCAGCATGAGTATAAGGATCCAGGAGGGGTGGGAGAGGCTGGAAGCAGAGGGATGTGGATGTGCAGGGAGAAGGAGGGATTAATCATTGGGTTGTACAATTTGACGGGCAGAGGGGTGAGCAAAACAAAGAATTTGTTCAAATTTATATTTGAATTTTGTAAATAAACTAATAAAAAAATAAAACTATAGATGCAATGCATAAACTATTAAACCAAAACCAATTCAATGCTTAAAAAAAAAAAAAGTCACTTTCATGAAAATAAATGTTGAACAAAATTCCCAAGTTGTGAAATCATAATCCTAAAAAGAATTCTTTCTGGGAGCACTTAATGACATTTCTTGTGAAATGCGGATATTTAAGTGAAAGTTTATCAGTGTTAAATTTACATACCTTGGACTTGAGGGAACCTCCCCAATTTTCATCCACATACTTCAAGAATAGCTCCTGCATACAACTACAAAAAAGAAAAACAGAAAGAATAAAAATGTAAAATTAAAATTGCACAGCAAAACACATAGATTACTAGACAGGATCATTGAGAAAATAGACCCAAAGATATGAAAGGGCTTTTTTAGGTGGGGAAGTTTTAGAGTATTTATAAAACCTAAACACAATAGTACGGAGACTTGAAATTATGGGCCAAAACCATAGTTCTTAAGCTTTTAAGAGTCTTAGATTCTTTTGTGAATCTGAGGGAATCCTATTATTTTTGTGAATGAATTCTGTTCATGGACTTCAGGAAAGCACAGATAGAGGATTGTGGCTAAAAAAGTTCTTTCTATTAAAAAAGACTTACAATCAGTTGACTTCTATAAAAAAGTTGCTTTCAAGTAAGATCTGGGTAAAAAATAAAATATAAATTTCAGGAAAGTCTTTAACAAACATTAGCTCCTTGCCACTGAGTTAGAAATAACTCGTAGCTGATCTTTCAGTGAGTTTTTCAGAGGCTATGATCATATGGGAAGAGATTACAAATCTTTCTCTGTCAGAGGGGTTGGTGGATTTGAACTCTGAAAAAGCTCTGCCTTTGGATTAGCACAACTCCCTACAGTCTGTAACAACAGCTGTTATATTTATCTGTTATTTATTAAGCTGAGTGGTGGATATAAACTCTGAGAAAGCTCTGCCTTTGGATTAACACAACTCCCTACTGTCTATAACAACAGCTGTTAGACTTATCTGTTATTTATTAAGCTGAGGTGGTCAGGTATTGGTCACTCTGACTCAGACAATCACAGGATCTCTTAATGCCAGAATGACAAGTTGAGGAAGACCGGTATTGCATTCAAAGTCAAAAAGAACATTTCAAGATCTATCCTGAACTACAATGCTTGAATGACAAGATACTACCCATACAAATACAAGGAAGGCTTGTTAATACAACTATTACTAAAACATACATACTGACAAATAAAATCCTTTGAGAACTTTTACCAACCACTAAAATCTGAGATTGACCAGACTTGTAATCAAGATGTATTAACAATAATTGGCAACGAGAATGTAGAAGTTAGAAATAAACAGGAAGGACGAGTTGTTAGAAAAGAAGGACTTGGTGACAGAAATGAGGCTTGAGATCGAATGATTACATTTTGTACAATGGTTTACTGATACAAGACTGGGGCTGACTGGAAGAGACCAATAATACCCAAGTGAAAGAAGCTGAAGAAAATGAAAACAAGTTCACAAGGACCAAACCATGACCTTTGGTCAATCCCGTCTGAATTTATACCATGTCAAGTATAGATTTGAGACACTGAATACTAATAACTGAAAACCAGATGAGTTGGGTGAAGATCTAAAGGTTTTCATCTATGAAAAAAGCAAAAGGCCATTACAAAGACAGAGGAGAAAGAAAAGACCAAAACAGATGTCTCAAGAGACTCTGAAAATGATCTATGAACAAAGGAAAGAAATGCTAATGCAAAAGAGACAAAAATGACATTTCAAAGAGCAGCTCAAGAGGTTGGTGTTGTTATGTGCCACCGAGTAGACTGCGACTCATAGTGACCCTAAGCAAAACACAATAATGACATGTGCAAAGAGCTGGAGTTAGAAAATAAACAAGGAAGAACTCACTTAGCATTTTTCAAGCAATAGGAACTGAAAAACAAATTCAAGCCTTAATTAGCAATATTGAAGGTTAGTGGGTAAAATCTTGTATTATGCAGGAAGATGGAATAAATAAATAGCCACTGTAACAAAAAGAACTGGTCAATACTGAAACAATTTAGGAAGTAGCATATATTCAAGAACTAATGATAGAGAAGGAAGCTCAAGCTATACACCAAAGGCATTGGTGAAAAAATAAGGCCCAGGAATTGATGGGATACAGTCCTTCTAGAAAAAGATGCAACTCTGAACATGCTCATCAGTCTCTGCCGACAGAAGACTGCTACCTGGCCAGCTGAAAGGATGAGATCCATATTTGTTTCTATCCCTAAGAAAGGTGAACCAACACACTGCACATTATTGAACATCATCACTAATATCACATACAAGTAAAATTTTGCTGATAATTTTTTAAAAATGGCTGAAACAGTACACCCACAGGGACGTTCCAGAAATTAAGGCTGGATTCCTAAGAGGTTACAGCACCAGGATCATCAGTGTCTGATGGATCTTAGCTGAAAACAAAGAATATCAGAAAGATCCTTATTGTATTTTTATTTATTATGCATAGGTGTTTGTGTGAATAAAAAAAAAAAAAAGGTCAATATTACGGAAAATGGGAATGCCAGAAGACCTAATCGTACTTTTGTAAAACGTATACGTATACCAAGAACCTGCTTTCTGAACAAAACAAGTGAATATTGCCAGTAAAGACGTGTGTCAAGACTGTATCATTTCTTTGTATTTATTAAATCTGTATTCTGAGTAAAATATTTGAGAAGCAGGACTATAAAAACAAGAATGGGGGACTGGAGGAAGATTCAACAACAATCTGCAGTATGCTGATGACACAACCTTGCTTCCAACAAGTGAAGAGGATTGAAACACTTGCTACAGAATATCAGAGACTAAAACCTACAATATGGATTTCATATCAACATCAAGAAAATAAATATCCTCACCTCTGGACCATATCATGACAGATGGAGAAAAGACTGAAGTTGTCAATAACTTAATTTTACGTGGATCAACATCTTGGTAACAGGAGTCAAGAAATCAAAATACGTGTTGTACTGGGAACATCTGCTAACAAGGATATCTCCAAAGTGCTAAAGAAAAAGGAGGTTGATTTAAAGACGAAGCTGTGCAGATTCAAGCCACAGTCTTTTCAATTACTTCCTATGCATCTGAACGTTGGACAGTGAATTAAGATGACAGAAAAAGAATCGACGGCTTTGAATATGAAGTTGGAAAATATGCTGTTTACAGACATCCTAGTATTGACTATCCCGTGGATGGTCAAAAACCAAGCAAGTGCTCCTTAGAGACCAGGATGGAGAAACTCTGTCTCATATACTTTGGATATGTTGTCAAAAGGAACCAATTCCTGAAAAAAAATATACCATGGTGGCAAAGGTCACAGGAAGACCCTCAACAAGATGTGAGGGAAACAGTGACTGTAGCAATGGGGTGGAGGACTTGAGTATATCAGAGAAGTGAGGATGGTGTAGATAGGGCAAAATTTAGATCTGTTGTTCATAGGGTCACTAAGAGTTATAGTCAGCTAATGGCACCAAACACCACAACAAAACAGTTCCCTGAAAAGCCCTTGCTGTTGTTATGTGCCATTGAGTCGCTTGCGACTCACAGCGACCCTATGTACAACAGCCCTAAACTCTGCTTTGTCTTGTGCCAATTGCACTGTCTCT